ATTATACAACCCTTAGATGGCGCTGAACACAATGACAATATATTGAGACTGTGTTTCCTGTTATCTATCTGTAAATCTAGAGACTTTGCTCAAGTTGTACAAACACACTTACAGATCAGTGGGATGGCACAGGACTTTACTCTCTATGACAATGCACAAAGCAAGGCCAAACTTCATAAAGAAAATAGAATAATCATTAACCTCTTAAGAACCAGGGCAAATCTCTTTATATAATGGCATGTCTGGCACGCCACACATCCTTTACGCATTATCACAATTTTCCATAATTGCAAAGGTGATGGTACAGAATGGCTTGGAACTGCAGTGTTTTGTAAAAATTGTTGAAACTCTAAACCTGTCGATCAGAACTGTAAATCAGGCAGCCTACATGAGTGCTATTTTTGTCCAAGTTTCCATTTGGCACCAAAACACCAGACACAATGAGCTCTCTCACCAGAAAAGAGCAAAGCGTGGCGGTGTCAAAAGCTGCACATAGTCCAGTTTACTAAATCAATGTATCAGACTATGGGGAAATTGATTTAAAAATGATTGGATGTCTTCTATATTAACCTGCCAAACATACATAACATCTGACCAGGTCCACCCTGCAATCTCTCAGCAGGTTCTTCTACTGCAAACATCAACTCATCTTGACAAATCCTGCATCCCAACAGGGAAAACATGAAGTAGACAATCATAGTGCAGAGAGGGGGGTGGGGAGGGACTGATGGAAGCCACAAAATGACTGCAGTTGGTTTATAATTGGAACTTTCATTGAGTCAGAGGACAGGAAAAAGAACTGCATGAAAAAGTAAAAGGACAACTTAAAGGGACATTCCACTGCCCAAACACAAAATAAATAAAAATCATTGTTTAGTAGATATACCCCAAATGAAAACGTGCATGCATTTAATTGTGTATTTTTTCATTTGGAGCTATATCTAAAAACAGCTTGCAAAAACTGCATTTCTTTTGTCGGAGACGTTGCAAGCTCTCCCCTTCTATTCCCGCCCAGACTTTCTGTGGCCGTCCAATCAGACGTCTCACTACAGCTCAATGAGAAGTCTTTGTAAGTCAGGTGCTCTGGGCAATAGCTGCCTCTTGAGGTCAGCTGTATTGAGCTAACCAAACCAGGAAGTAACATTACCTGTTGTCTGTTTGAAAGCCAAGGGTGTGTAACTAGGTTAATTTATAAAAGTGTGAAGCAAGCTAAAGTTATTTAACCCCTTAAGGACACAACTTCTAGAATAAAAGGGAATCATGATGGAATATTTCCATCATGCGTCTTTAAGGGGTTAAGGGTCTAGTGTGACACTTTAAACTCTATGTGTGGCAGATGGGTTATATCTGTGGATACAACCATATTTTGATCAAATAGTGACTAAAAAGATAAAGGAAAATGCATTGAAAACTTAATAAACATAGAACAATAATGTATAGCTTGTAGCTACATTTTCCAAGATGCCAAGTCAGCATTTATTGTTTACTATCATAGAAAATATGGTTTGCAACCATCTGCAGTGCCAGTCCACCTACACACCCTAATTGTTTTAAAACACAACTCAATGAAATCTCAAGTATTTGTGAATTCCTCCAGCGAATAACAAACTGCTCAAATGCCAGCAGTAACACTGGTCCCTTCTGATACAATATCTGTATGGTATGAACTTCCTTATGGGATTTGTAGGCCTTATTTCAGATGATAATCTTCCTAGATGTTCAGATCAATAAATAATTCTCACAGCCTTTTTCTATATAGGACAAGCTTCCCCAATACTACAAACCTTGGATGGACATTGCAGAAAATTTAACTCTCCTGATTGAAACAAAAAAGCTACGGAAAGAAGTGATGCAGGTGAGTAGGCTATTTTAAAGACTGTGACAGGATGCATTAAAGAGGCAAGTTAATTAAAGTGACCCCCTAAACTTTCCTCACAGTATGCAAATGAAAGTCTGATAATTATATGATGTAGTTTCCCAGATGAGGTCACCTTCAGATTATAGTAGACTGAAGGTAGTTGCTATCTATAATTTTGCAGCCATAAACTGAATATCTAGAAGGCTGCAGTTCTATCTTTGAACACTAGAGTGCAGTAGAGAACCACTAGCAAATTACTTCTATATAGCTTTATGATTCACTTGCTATTTTTTTAAAAAAAAAAAAAAAAAAAAAGTTTAGTCCTAATTTTCTTCACTTTGTAGCTTTAACCATTTACTAGTTCAAGTCTTAATAACTATGCAGGAAATCACTAGGACATTGTGTAAATAAATCCAGAATTAAAACAGATTAGCTATACCAGGCAAAAAACAACTTTGATACCCAAATATCTTCAAGAATTCTTTCATATTATTCACTATACGATGCTGGGATTAAAACAACTATCATTGGATGGGAAATAAATCCAGACTCAATTTTAAACCAATTCAATATCTCCTAACATTTCATAAATATTGGAAGCATGACTGTTCTTTAAATTCTCTAAAATAAAGAGGCCTAGGCACACAAAGTATCCGCCATCACTGCTTTTATTAAAGTCTGCACTTTCAGATACTTTGTGTGTTTGGACCCTCTTCACATTCTCTGGATAATTGGTCGGGGTTCACCACCTCTAGGTTTGGAAAGATTATGTACCTTAATCTAATGCCGTGTCATTAGTGTAGTACCCCTTCTGATTTACTGAGATATTGTTTAGGTGACTTCCTAGTAACAATTTTTGCAATAAAAATCTAATTTAGAACAAGAACAATCTATCTTATTCACACAGACTGATTTCTAAACACACTCAGACCAACAAATATGAAGCTCCTAGAAGAGAGGGACATTCGAACTGAAAATAGAGACAGAGGGATTTGAGTGAAGGCCTTGTCACTGTCTCCTGCACAGTTTAGAATCTTGTACCAAATCCCACTGCTTCTAGTTCATTTATATTTGTTGTTGATCTGAGGTTTTTACATTTTGTTATAATTATACTAACCAGTGCCTCTTTCATTTTTTCAATGCATGTAGATGCCGCAGCTGGGTTTAGAGCACCTTACAGATAAACGGGAGGTGATCCTTGCCCGTGTGTTGCTCAGCCACATTGTTATGGGATATGTATGGCAGGACGGCGAGCAAGGGGCAATTAAGGTAAACATACGTGCCACTTCAAGAGGTCTAATCACAGAACGATACCCTCCCTTTAACTCCCCAAAGAGGGATGATTGCTGATGATGGGTCCCTATAGCATTACTAAGAAGTGTTTGGTGGCTTCTTGATCTATCGATGACCATTTGTGATTACCAGTGTCGCAGTGAACAAGCTGATTTATAGACACATTTATGGCAGACACATAACGCACTTTTGGAACGTATGACTGAAAACATGAATCCCATTACAGACCACTTTCCCAGAATCCCCCCTCCGCCCATGCAAGGAGAATACTTCCTGTAACTAGAAATATGGTACCTGCTATAGGAATAATTTGCTGTTTATGTGACTGGAATTCGCTCAAAGTCCAGCAAGTTGGAGCTTTGCCGCAGCTAAGGAGTTTTAGTATTAAAATGACTGTGTTTCCACTATAATCTTGACTAGATACAAAACTGATTTAATTAATATCCCTATTTATATAGCTCTGCTAGTGTCTTTGTTCTCCTCTGTGCCTCAACCACCGAGGCTATTCACTAAAGGGAGAATTCACAGTGAATTTAAATTTAAGGTCAAACTGGTTGAACCAGAAAAAAATCACTAGTTCAGCTACTTTGTGCTTAAAATTATAATTTGCTTTGAATTTTCCCTTTAGTGGATAACCCTGCTTGTGTCCCCTGATGACCCTGTCTCTGCTCCGTCAGGTGTTACCACAAGCTCTGGCTGTGCCGTATTACCAGATATCAAAAGTCCTTGGTCTGCCGTTAATTATGGTTCATTCTGACTTTGTGTTGGCCAACTGGAAACAGAAAGACCGCCTTGGGTAAGATTATCGTATGCACTGTTATTATGGGTTATCACATTCCCACGTACACAGCATAAATCTATCTGGCTAAATCATACTTTTTCCTTTTTGTTTGTCAAATTTTCTATAAGTCCAGTTATACTCTGTGTTACAGACTTGGCTTTTTTTAGTATGCCTTATAACTTCAACATATCGCCTCTATATCAATCGCCACTGAGCTTGTTATTATTGTTTTCTAATGGAATGCAGGAAGGTGAGTGGGGAATGTTGACACAGATGCATTGGATCTGCTCTACAAGTAGGGTCCTGATTTCATTATACACTAATTGTTTGTTCCTCTTTTTTTTGCATATGGGAATCTTCACAGAACTATGACTATAGAGTAAGTGAAACACACATTGCATTTTAATGCTAATAATTAATGTTCTGAAGTGGTCATTGACAATATGTGACTAATGATGGTTTCACATGATGCACAGTTTCTGTATGATTGATAGTTCTCTTCAGTACACTTCTGGCAGTGATGGATGAATGGGAGAAATTCTATGTTGATCTCAAAGCACTGTTTGACACTGACTGTCTCACCCTGCAGGAACCTGTCAACCATTGTATCACTCCCAGGAGGTGAGAGCCTGCAAGGATTTGTTCTGGTTACTCTGCTAGTAGAGGTGGCTGCAATCCCCGGGGTGAAGGTGTGTAGATGCCATTAAACCTGCAAAACTTTCTATTATAACCATATTCCACAATGTGACAATTTTATGATGCAAACTGCAGATCCATAGTGACCAGACAGTCTTGTCACCTGGAATCATTTGGCAGATCACTTAAGTTCATTCTCTACTGTAACACTTTAAAAATAAATAAATATATATTGTCAACACACCTGCTTACCTGTGATGTTTTCTAACAGTTTGACTATATCATAGGCCAATGACAAAATGGATGCACCAAAGCCTTGCCAAGTACTGGGCCTGTAATAGAGATGTCGCGAACCGTCCGCGAACTTCTCGCGAACCGTTCGTGGCGAACTGTTCGCGGCGAACTCCGGTCAGCTGACACATCCCGGCCAATCTCCAGCAGACCCTCCCTCCCAGACCCTTCTACTTCCTGGACAGCATCCATGTTTCAACATGGATGCTGTCCAGGAAGTAGAAGGGTCTGGGAGGGAGGGTCTGCTGGAGATTGGCCGGGATGTGTCAGAGAAGTTCGCGACATCTCTAGCCTGTAACTGGTTGAATTTGGAGAATGCTACTGACTATTTCCACCAACTGGTCTGAACAATGCTTGCAAGCTATCTAGTGGTAGACTAGCATCAGATGGAAGAAACACAGGATCTAGCAGGATGGTTTAGTTATAAACAGCAATAACTCTCTCCTCCTCAAGCTGCCCTTTTATTAAAAAATAGTAATGGCCAGTGTAAGCTCAACAAGCAAAACAAGTAAGCTAGTTTAATGGTTCCGTATACCACAGAGATGTACCTAGGCTTTTCTTTATTTAGTTTTAACTTTGGCAGATTTATGTGTTGGCAACTTATTATGAATCTGAGTGCGTGTTGCTCCAGTCACGAAATACAGAGTAATACTGAAATGTCTCTAGTAAACAAATGTTTGACTGGCAGCACTAGGTATATTTTCTATTTCTCACTCTGCCCTGCTACTACATGCTCTGCATAGTTTTTCGGTTGGAAGGGAGGGCTTACTAGTGTAAGTGCAGATTATCAAGTCCGTGTGAATATCACCTCATTTATTCATCCATTGCAATCTGTAAATTGTGTAGGTCTGACATAAAGGTCTGACAATGATGTAAAATTTGCAATTCTGGACAACCTGATGTTAATGACCAGATATCCCCCGCCTTCTATTACTAAGTTCTACTTGTTCACCTTGGGAGCTTTCACGATGTGCCTCTGAAGGCCCATTATTCCCATTCATATCATGGCTAATGGTGACCAGCTTGTGCAAAGGGAGGAAGTGATGGACAGTTCATTTTGTCCCTGTGTTCTGTTTAGAAGTGTTGGGGTGATCTTTATCTAGCGTACATGGTGTTTGTTGTGTTGCAGGCTGTGATTCAGGCAGTAAAGGCACTGCTGTGTGAGGAAAGACAGACACTTCTCCAGGCCATGAGGGACATAGCTCAATCCATTAACAAGATGGGTGAAGCTCTGCAGCTTATGTACGGTCAGTATTGTGGTGAACGTCTACAAATTGTCTCTCAATCTCTCTCCACTCAGTCTCTGATCTGTTGCTTAATTTGTTTTGCAATATAGATTCGGTTTTCCAATCCCTTTCTCTCTGATTAACCTCCTATCAACCCATGTATCAATCCACACATACTAACATTATGCTCTTCCATAGATTATGTGGATTCCGATGTATATTACAACAAAATCCGTATCTTCCTCTCAGGGTGAGTGTGAACTGAACCTTCTAGTCAAAAGATTTATATTACATTAGATTACAATGTTGCCAGGAATATAGATCACTTGGCCTTGGTCATTGAGGTCCTCCCACGGTCATGTATTCTTGGGCATCCTTAATTTTAATAACTGTGGATCAACCTGAATTATTAAAACTAATTTTATCTCTCCTGATCCCATGACGCTAATGTTAGGCCAATCCTAATGTAAGTTATATCACTGGCTACATATGTACTTACTGAGGCGTTTGCATTTGAAGCATTCCATGTAACCCAAGTATCCGCATCCACAACTCTGTATAATATGTCATTAAGAGCAAGATGGAAACACTAGAGTGTGTGTATAATATCTTGCAGCCCCATTGTAGGTACCCACATAGATATACTATTCTAAGAAGAAATATTTATGATCACTGTTTGGTACTCGGGAAGAAATAATGTTAATTACAATCAGTAAAGTGAACATGCTGTAAACCATTCCTACATGATCTCCTTGTCTATAGGAACCCCAGTAAATTGTGCAATTTTTTTTTTTTTTTTTGCCCCCTCTCTCTCTGGTGCCCCTATTCCGGTCTTCACCACCATTTCTCTTACTGTATTTCCCTTTCTCTCACACTCTTGTTCTGTGGCCATTTACAGGGAGTGCAGAATTATTAGGCAAATGAGTATTTTTGACCACATCATCCTCTTTATGCATTTTGTCTTACTCCAAGCTGTATAGGCTCGAAAGCCTACTACCAATTAAGCATATTAGGTGATGTGCATCTCTGTAATGAGAAGGGGTGTGGTCTAATGACATCAACACCCTATATCAGGTGTGCATAATTATTAGGCAACTTCCTTTCCTTTGGCAAAATGGGTCAAAAGAAGGACTTGACAGGCTCAGAAAAGTCAAAAATAGTGAGATATCTTGCAGAGGGATGCAGCACTCTTAAAATTGCAAAGCTTCTGAAGCGTGATCATCGAACAATCAAGCGTTTCATTCAAAATAGTCAACAGGGTCGCAAGAAGCGTGTGGAAAAACCAAGGCGCAAAATAACTGCCCATGAACTGAGAAAAGTCAAGCGTGCAGCTGCCACGATGCCACTTGCCACCAGTTTGGCCATATTTCAGAGCTGCAACATCACTGGAGTGCCCAAAAGCACAAGGTGTGCAATACTCAGAGACATGGCCAAGGTAAGAAAGGCTGAAAGACGACCACCACTGAACAAGACACACAAGCTGAAACGTCAAGACTGGGCCAAGAAATATCTCAAGACTGATTTTTCTAAGGTTTTATGGACTGATGAAATGAGAGTGAGTCTTGATGGGCCAGATGGATGGGCCCGTGGCTGGATTGGTAAAGGGCAGAGAGCTCCAGTCCGACTCAGACGCCAGCAAGGTGGAGGTGGAGTACTGGTTTGGGCTGGTATCATCAAAGATGAGCTTGTGGGGCCTTTTCGGGTTGAGGATGGAGTCAAGCTCAACTCCCAGTCCTACTGCCAGTTCCTGGAAGACACCTTCTTCAAGCAGTGGTACAGGAAGAAGTCTGCATCCTTCAAGAAAAACATGATTTTCATGCAGGACAATGCTCCATCACACGCGTCCAAGTACTCCACAGCGTGGCTGGCAAGAAAGGGTATAAAAGAAGAAAATCTAATGACATGGCCTCCTTGTTCACCTGATCTGAACCCCATTGAGAACCTGTGGTCCATCATCAAATGTGAGATTTACAAGGAGGGAAAACAGTACACCTCTCTGAACAGTGTCTGGGAGGCTGTGGTTGCTGCTGCACGCAATGTTGATGGTGAACAGATCAAAACACTGACAGAATCCATGGATGGCAGGCTTTTGAGTGTCCTTGCAAAGAAAGGTGGCTATATTGGTCACTGATTTGTTTTTGTTTTGTTTTTGAATGTCAGAAATGTATATTTGTGAATGTTGAGATGTTATATTGGTTTCACTGGTAATAATAAATAATTGAAATGGGTATATATTTGTTTTTTGTTAAGTTGCCTAATAATTATGCACAGTAATAGTCACCTGCACACACAGATATCCCCCTAACATAGCTATAACTAAAAACAAACTAAAAACTACTTCCAAAAATATTCAGCTTTGATATTAATGAGTTTTTTGGGTTCATTGAGAACATGGTTGTTGTTCAATAATAAAATTAATCCTCAAAAATACAACTTGCCTAATAATTCTGCACTCCCTGTATATTCATTCCTTAATAACTATCTCACACGTTGTTTTCAAGGATAATTTTAGCTCTCTCTTCCGTCCCCCAGGAAATAGGATTTATTTTTATAAAATGTACTGGAATTAAGCATTTCCTTTGGGAGTCCACAGCTGTGTAACCCCTCTAACAACCAGCGAATATCAAGCATTGTCTGAAAATAAGTAATACCACCAGAACCGTAGCACTTTTTCTTAACCCTACACAATAATTCTTACTAGCTGGAATAAACATGTCCCAGACCACAAACTACATTCATGTACATTTCCAATGTCTTCTTTTTTTATTTATTTTTTTATCTGTGTTAACAAAATGTGAATAACACGTACAAATAATATCCAAGCATAAAATGACACAAACAAAAATTACAATCCCAAGCCAAAAAAACCCCAAACCCAGTGCTCATTAGGTAACTGAGGCAACATCTGAAATTGGCAATGTGGTATATCTGAATATACTGGCATCCATGCCTCCCAGACATTTTTGAAAATTATGGTACGGCATTATTATGTAGTAGAACTGTCTTTCATGTAGATCTACCATACTGTCGCCTATATATTGGTAAATGGAGGGACAAGCCCCTTTAACAATTTAGCAATAAATGGCAGAGCAGCTGCACATATATTACGAATCAACTTTATTGAGGCTTTAGGACTTTTGTAAATACAGGGAGTGCAGAATTATTAGGCAAGTTGTATTTTTGAGGATTAATTTTATTATTGAACAACAACCATGTTCTCAATGAACCCAAAAAACTCATTAATATCAAAGCTGAATATTTTTGGAAGTAGTTTTTAGTTTGTTTTTAGTTATAGCTATGTTAGGGGGATATCTGTGTGTGCAGGTGACTATTACTGTGCATAATTATTAGGCAACTTAACAAAAAACAAATATATACCCATTTCAATTATTTATTATTACCAGTGAAACCAATATAACATCTCAACATTCACAAATATACATTTCTGACATTCAAAAACAAAACAAAAACAAATCAGTGACCAATATAGCCACCTTTCTTTGCAAGGACACTCAAAAGCCTGCCATCCATGGATTCTGTCAGTGTTTTGATCTGTTCACCATCAACATTGCGTGCAGCAGCAACCACAGCCTCCCAGACACTGTTCAGAGAGGTGTACTGTTTTCCCTCCTTGTAAATCTCACATTTGATGATGGACCACAGGTTCTCAATGGGGTTCAGATCAGGTGAACAAGGAGGCCATGTCATTAGATTTTCTTCTTTTATACCCTTTCTTGCCAGCCACGCTGTGGAGTACTTGGACGCGTGTGATGGAGCATTGTCCTGCATGAAAATCATGTTTTTCTTGAAGGATGCAGACTTCTTCCTGTACCACTGCTTGAAGAAGGTGTCTTCCAGGAACTGGCAGTAGGACTGGGAGTTGAGCTTGACTCCATCCTCAACCCGAAAAGGCCCCACAAGCTCATCTTTGATGATACCAGCCCAAACCAGTACTCCACCTCCACCTTGCTGGCGTCTGAGTCGGACTGGAGCTCTCTGCCCTTTACCAATCCAGCCACGGGCCC